TAAATGTATACTCAAACACAGTCCTCTTGAATGTATAATCAAACACAATCCTCTTGGATGAATACTCAAACACAGTCGTCCTCTTGAATGTATAGTAAAAAACAGTCCTCTTGAATGTATACTCAAACACAGTCCTCTTGAATGTGTACTGTTCGAGGACGCGTTGGATGTCACATACTTGTGCCCAACTGCAGGGACGATGCGATGGCCACCGTCGCTCCTTTGTCGAATGTTTTCCCTTCGGCAATAGGCTTACTGCGCGCTGCCTCTGACCGCAGCTGCTCTGAGTAGCGGCTGATTTCCGCATACACCTCATTCCACGCATCCACCTGAGGCAGGATGCATACGGTGATAGGTCAGTTTACGCCAGGATTTTCATGTACGTTGATGGATATAAAACGAAGCGAATCTAAACCGATAATTTGAGTGTGATGTTTACCACTTCTTGTGGGTACAAAACTTAAATATGGTCTAGAAATACGGAAATTGCTACGTAAGCTTTTACGCTTGAATGATGACAGATAAGCGTGCGAGTCGGATGTAATCCTGAGCATAGACTCGGGAACAAAATATGTAGGTACCACAAACCCTATGAATATTGAAAGATCAATACGTAAAAATTGGTAGATATGGAAATAGTTATGAGCGAATTCAAAAAATCGTTTACACACTAACGACGTTAAGCGGTATTTAGGATAAAACGAAGGCAAACCTTATACGCATGCAAGCTCACCTATCAATCGCGCAATCAACCGCTAAATCAATTTACGAGGCAAGACGTCGAAGCTAGCAATACCTCGGTGTGTACACATGAAAGACATTTTCCGTTTTGGTTTGTTACATACATTAACTGAGCCCAGTTTGTCGCCCGCTTCGCTCCATTTCTTTGTTACTTCTTCCACCTCAAATATGTCTCTAGAACGCAGCAGAATCGGGGCTGTATGTGCATGCATTGTATACAACCATTTGAGCATCCAGTAACTTCTGAGTCTGCTGAGCGAGAGATTGGTCACTGCAGGATGGTCACTGCAGGATGATGACAGTCAATGCCTGTCCGCATGCATGCATGCAGGGCTGATAATCCATCTCACATATGACATTCGTGTATAACAGTTCGATTGAAAGCGGCTGCCCGACAAGAGTGAGAACTTGATTGCACTTTGAATTCTATAAGTCGTGAGTATCAATTCTCGCGCGGTTGGTATCGAACAGCCCCCACCGAGGCACTCCCAATGAGAGGCTGGTCGAGAAAACTTCGAATGTACTTTTTATACACTACAGATCCGCACTTAATCTTCTACAGAGGGTAAACTAATCATTAGAAGCATAACCTTTTTCTTAATTGCATTAGCGTCTGATGTTAGAAATTGCATCTGTACAAAGTGCCCAATATGATGCAAGATGGTTGTCCAGGGATTCCACACGCAATACCATGACGACATGTGACTTTCAGGATTTCAATATTCATACACTCGGTAGAGTCACAAAGTTCGCCATTAACAATATTAGTACATGGTACTTCTCACAATCAATTTGAGACGAGCCAGCAAATACAACAGGAAAACACCATCCTCCACGAGATAACGCACTTACGCATTCCGGCTGAGAATGATTGTATACGGCCGTCAGTTAGAGACGCGAGGCTCTCATCGACTTCTCTTGGATCCATGACTCGGTTCGGGACGGGTACCATACGATTGAATCGTACGTCTGTACCCGCAACACCTGTTAACTGGTGTGCCAAGTTCTTGACTTGGCCAGAGAGAGCCTCAAATTTGTCCAGAACATCAGGCCTGCATGGGTAGACAGAAAGGTGAATGAGATCAATTTTGTTCGTAGGGAAGCAAAAAAGTGCCGGGAAAATAAAAATATAATGTTTTTGAGTTACGATCGCCTGGGTGGCGTGGGAACAGTCAAATATGAGCGGCCGTTTGTGTACTTAACAGACAGACAGACGGACAGATATTATGTACATAATGTACATTATATATATATATATATATATATATATATATATATATATACAACACACACACACACACACACACACACACACACACACACATATATATATATATACACACACACACACACACACA